GCCGAAGCCAGACGCTCAACCGACTGAGCCACCCAGGTGCCCCGAATATGCTATTTTCTTTATGATGCATCAAATTTCTGTAGTTCTGTGCCATGAAGTTCTTCAATTTCTCACTCCACTTACACATTCTAATTTTTGTCATTTTTGCTGTAATCCTTAACCTACTTTTTTCTGAAAAAAAATTTTTTTTGTTTACCAAATATATATATTAAATCCTCTAAAATGTTAAAGTAATAAAATCCCATTTTAAAATGTATTTTATTTTTTATTTTTGAAAGAGAGAGAGTGGGAGTGAGGGAGAGGCAGAGAGAAAGGGGCAGAGGATTTGAAGCAAGATCTGTGCTGAGAGCAGAGGGCCTGATGCAGGGCTCAAACTCACAAACCATGAGATCACAACCTGAGACAAAGTCAGACACTTAACCAACTGGGCCACCCAAGCATCCCACCCCAGGAATATTTTTAAAACAGTATCAAAGCAGGACATTCATCAAGTGAAAAGTGAAGGATTGTACACAGAGAAAAGAGGGAAAGAGCTTGGAAGATATAAGGAACTTAGGCCATAAGGAGTGATGGGAGAGTGGTATGGGACAAGGTAGGAGAAGCAAGCATGGACCAGATCATGAATGCCTTACAGGACAGGTTAAGAAATTTGATTTCATTCTAAGTGCTAATGAAAGTCACTGAAGGACTTTCAAGACAGGACAAACATAATTCAAATTACATTTTAAAAAGATCAAATTGGCTGCTATATGGTGACTGGACTGGAAGAGAGCAAAAATACTAACAAGGTTAAAACTACTACAGCATGAGAAGTTGAGTTGGGTCAACACCCTGCTGGGTAGCAATGTCAAGTGTTCCACTTTTTCAAGGAAGCAATATGGAAATATCTAATCTATAATACACTTTACTCTTTGACTCAGCAATCCCACTGCTAGGAATTAAGCCCATAGAAATAAAACTATCAGTATATATTTAATGCACATTTACTATTTAAGGCAACATTGTAGTGGCAAAAAAAGGGGAAAGATTTAATGTGTATACACACACATGAAAATGATAAGACCAGAAAAAAATTAACAAAGATTAGGCTTTTTATTTTTTTTTTTAATTTTTTTTTTTCAACGTTTTTTATTTATTTTTGGGACAGAGAGAGACAGAGCATGAACGGGGGAGGGGCAGAGAGAGAGGGAGACACAGAATCGGAAACAGGCTCCAGGCTCCGAGCCATCAGCCCAGAGCCCGACGCGAGGCTCGAACTCACGGACCGCGAGATCGTGACCTGGCTGAAGTCGGACGCTTAACCGACTGCGCCACCCAGGCGCCCCAAGTCTTGCTTCTTTTAACTACCTCCCTTACTCATCTTTCATATTATAATTTGATTTGCCTCTCAGAGTAAATAACAGGAGAAAATGTCCTGATTTGTTGACATGCATAGTTTGCTGGATAATTTTTATATACATAATAAATTGGTTTATGCATTAATTTCTTTGAAAAATTGGGTTAGCAAGAAACACTCTCTTAGATCTTTATCTTCTTTTAGTATACCAACAAGATAGTTTTTTGAGACTACAAGACTTTTGACTCAGACCCCTGGAAAGAAATAACATCAACTTATGGGAGATCTGACTGGTAGGTGATTAAGTTTTGTCAAAATACAAGCCCTGTGTGTTCAAGGTGACAGCAAGTTTGTTAAAACATTCTTTGGAAGCGTGAAAAAGTTAAAATAAGGGTTTGGAACAATATAGCCTCATAGATTAATTAGAAAGTAACATTTTGGCTTCTCAAAAATTAGAATTTAAATGTTGTTTACTGTTTCTATTTTTAAAAAATGTTTATTAAAATTTTTTTTTAAGATTTATTTTGAGAGATAGAAAGAGAGAGACAGAGACAGAGACAGAGAGAGAGAGAAGGGGCAGAGAAAGGGAGAGAGACAATCCCAAGCAGGCTCTGCACTGCCAGTGTGGAGCCTGATGTGGGGCTTGAACTCATGAACTGTGAGATCATGAACTGAGCTGAAATCAAGAGTTGGATGCTTAACTGATAGGCCACCCAGGCGCCCCTAAATGTTCATTTATTTTTGAGAGCACACATGCTCATGCAAGTGGGAGAGGGGCAGAGGATCTGAAGCGGGCTCTGTGGTGACAAGAGAGAGCTTGACGCAAGCTTGAACCCGTGAACCATGAGATCATGACCTGAGCGGAAGTTGGACATTTAACCAACTGAGCCACCCAGGCAACCCTATCTTTTTCCATTATAAAGTATAATCGACATATAACATCAATTTGTATCTTACACAGAATTTGATGTTGGGGCGCCTGGGTGATTCATTGCTTAAGTGTTCAACTTCAGCTCAGGTCATGATCTCACAGTTCGTGAGTTCGAGCTCTGTGTCGGGTTCTGCGCTGGCATCTCAGAGCCTGCTTCAGATTCTGTCTCCCTCTCTCTCTCTGCCCCTTCCCCACTTGTGCCCTCTCTCCTCTCAAAAATAAATAAATAAACAAAAATAAATATTTATTCCTATACCACCTCTTAATACACATGGTAAGTATGTTTAAATGGATGTCTGTGGCAATAATGCACTTTTGCATGTAAGTCTCAAGACTGTTTAATTCTAACAAGAACCCCACAATACTTAAGTCTGTTGGCTTCTGAATTCCAAGAGTTCTGACAGTGAGAGGCTCCCTGTTATCTGAATCTACTGAAAAACTGAAGTTCTGATAATAAATAGGAAGAGGTTGAATAGTGACTGATCTAAAAATGCATCCTCATCTATTCAGCTTGAGTGGGATAGTTCAGTTATTGTGGAATAACTGTATAGCCCTGTATTTTATGTACCTGAGAGGGATTCCTAAAACATTTGAAGAATACTCTATGTGTGTGTGTGTGTGTGTGTGTGATGTGTGTGTGATGTGTGTATGGTGGGCAATAAAAAGTAAATGTGTCAAGAATATGATTCTGTGGGAAAAGAAACAATAGTATTTCCATGCCATTCCTACTGAGGTAAGTTATCAATTTCATTCTACAGTTTAAATGGAAGCCCAGAGAAGTCAAGCAATCTGCCTAAGTAAACACACAGCTAGTGAGTGGCAGAGCCAGGTCTGATTTTCCTACCAATGTTTCTCTCCTGCTACAACTGTTAAGAAAATTAGGTGCCCTGGGGCGCCTGGGTGGCTCAGTCGGTTGAGCGTCCGACTTCAGCCCAGGGCATGATCTCACAGTCTGTGAGTTCGAGCCCCGCGTTGGACTCTGTGCTGATGGCTCAGAGCCTGGAGCCTGCTTCCAATTCTGTGTCTCCCTCTCTCTCTGCCCCTTCCCTGCTCATGCTCTGTTTTTCTCTGTCTCCAAAATAAATAAAAACATTAAGAAAAAAAAAAAAAAAAGAAAATTAGGTGCCCTAATTATAAGGTCAACAATGAAGAATGCAGCTGTTAATAATGTACACACTCATCACAGGAGCCAACAAACTCTTGAAAGTAAGATCTCAAAAACTCTCAATTCCTAGTCTTTCAAGTTTTGAGAGCAGAAGTATGGGAGAAGGATACTGTTATGGGTGACCACATAAACTCTTGAAATGAGCGGATATAGGAAGACTCATTTTCCGGAGAGTGAAGCACAATAAATATAGCCAAGAGGTGGTATATAAAATGTAGAATATGTAGTATATATTAACTTGTCCAGTGTGGGTTTCTTAACCTCTACCATGAAACTGTAATAAGAATCTCTGGGAGAAATCCACTTGTTAAATTTTAAAATTTACCTTATTCTTTACCGGATCAATATTCTTTACAGGAGTGACAGAAATAATTCTCACAGGGTTCTCTTCATTTTCACTAACTCCAGTTTCTACTGCCTCTGAACTCTGTTCCCTGTTGAAGAAAAATAAACCAAAGCTTCTTTATTTCACCACTTGGACAGAAGGTTTACCCTCCCACTACAGCAATAAGGAAACAGAAGCTCAGTCAAGTGAAGCAACATTAGCAAAATTCAAATCTTCTGTGGTTACAGACTATTGGTCTATTATACGGTGTTATTGGTGCCATTTAACCTTACTAATGAAAGACACAAATGGCTGCCTAAAACCACCCGAAAGAAAGATTAGTTATCAAGAAATGAAATAACAAAACTATTCTAAGACTTTCTCTCGTGTGTGGGAAACCCTAAAACAAAACAAAAATGCAGTGATAGATGAGTGTATAGTATAGTTGTTTCCAGCCTTTTTTTTTTTTTTTTTTTTTTT